TGTGCGAGGTCAATTCATCGCTTTGTTGATTAGTTTTAATGTGTTCTTTTTATTGATTAAATAAGTAATTTTCGATTTGTTTATTAATTAGGGCGATGCCTGTGTTAAACCGGGAAAGAAAATGCCAGGACATATGGGAAGTGCTTTTCGACCTTTGCGTGGCATACAGGTGCGTTTTCTTCGATTTTCAACCTTATCTCTAACTTAATTACATCACGGCACCTAATAAAATATGAAGAATCACATGAATAACGCTGATATTTGTTAAGAACTGCCCACTATTTTTATCACTAAATTAATCGGTGAGAATGAAACTGTTCTTTTCTTTTGCGAAGCTGCCTTTGTGCTTGAAAGGAAAGGTTTTCGGTCAGTACCTCCTCCCAGTGTTGATGCGAAGCAAAACCGTAAGTATGCAAAGATGCATGGGAGGAATAAAAGGAAGACGAACGAATGAGTATCAGCAGAACCTAGTCTGCGTTGTGTCACTAAGAGTGAAGAAGTTGAAACTGTCGTGGGCAGGACACATTCACAGTGACATTTTTTTATTCATATCATGTCCTCTAAGCAGGGAATGACAGCTCATTTTGCATACTAGTCAGAAAGTCTTTCCATGGAAATGTCTGGAGGCCATTTCATACAGTTTTGAAGTTGAAGTGGGATATCATTATCATGGGATATCAGTGATAGTCGGATTGAACCAAACAGAACACCAAAATACGACAATTATCCCTGTGTTATATGATCATATGGACTATCATGGTCTGCGTAATGCTAATGTTGAGAGTTTACCGGAACAGGATTTAATCTAGCATATGGGTCGCAGAGCTTTCTAATGGTAGAAAGGTCGTATTAAACCGACGGAGATGACAGTTTCGAGCGGAGAGAAAAGGCAACATTTGTTTGAACCGTTGATTTTCTTCCGTAAGGAATTTACTTAACGTTGCTTCAGTACAGCCAGCCCATAAAAGAATTACAACTCGTTGATTTGTGATATTTTAATATTGCCATGTCAAAACGAACGAGTTATACTGTGATTTTGTCCCAATCGAATGCCTTTTGTGGTTGCCTTTCGCCTTGACCTATTTGAAAGCTGATCTTTTACCGTAACACGCAACAAACGGGACTACTCTTAAAAAATGTTCGGTTCTGATAGCATTGACGCGCATCAACACACCACTGAATTATATAAAAACAGCTGTAGATTTGTATGAGTTAACCGTCAGGTTTAGTAAAAAAAATAATAGAGGGTGCCGTAGCTTTATCATAACGTTCCGAAGTTTATTCTTTCGCCTTTTAGATCTTGAGGATCAATTTCGAATACCAAATAATATACGTAAAGGGATATAGTGTCCCTGGTTCGATCGGGAATTATATCTACGTCAAAGATTGCTGGATTCCTTCAAAGCGAGTCGAGGTCAGTCTTTGCTCTTGCTAAACTTTGCACTTGTGACTGCAGCTTGTTGTTTCAGTCGCCTCCATTTCCAACGTTTTACCCACAGGAGTCGCAGCCTCATTTCTTTGAACAGATACATGAATCGTTATTTTCTTTCAATGAAGATACAATCACTTTCCCTGAAGAAGTCAAGGGAAAATCAAGAACTTTTTCTAAAGTGAAGAAGCAGGCCAAGATTAAAAAATAGTTTTATGTTGTACCTTGTAAAAATCCTAATTAAAAGTTTACATGCTATGCGTCTTTTATTCCGTGTCACATTGTGAAGGCGATCATATTTATAGACTAGGAATTACAATTAATTTATTAATGAAGTTTCTTTACTTTGTTTTTAGTCATGAGAAGTCTTTTCACGGCATTCGCGAAACGTTCTCAGGTTTGGTATTAATTTTATTGCTTTTGTAGTTCTTAGTTTAAAAACAATTTTGCAGACATGCCAGGGTTTCTTTGATTTCAATGTGTCTTTTTGTGAACAGGCGATATTTTACTTCTTTATCGTAAATATAACATTTCCGCTTAGAATAGTGAAATATTTAAACGATAAAGTTAATAACAAAGCTTGGAGTTGTGTGTTAAAAGATTAGTAAGTCGCATACAGTCATGGCACCAGTCCGGTGAATCGGATACATTTCGCCATTGAAATTAATACAGTGCTGGAGGGTAAGCTGTCACTCATACATCTGTGTGCCAATCCGTATGTTTGTAGGGCTGCTGTTATTGCTTCTTTTGCAGCATTTAAGACACTCAGATATCACATTTTACAGGCGGCATTGGTCTATAAACGAATATTGTTTCACCTGTAGATTTTGGTGGCTAGAGACGCTTTGTCCATTGTTGTCTACACGACTTTCTCGTTTTATATCTTCGAATTCGAAGCACTGCCTG